GGATGTAAATGTTGAGGAACTCTGCGGGGCAGCCTGGTGTTTCCACATTCACCAGGTCCGAGAGCACATGGTAGCCTGGGTTAAGAGAGCAAAGTGGTGGGTAAATCACCAGGTACTGCTTTCCTTAGGACCAGAAAGATCTTGAATTATCAGGGCACAGAGATCAGAGCACAAGCTTCAATGCGGTCTCTCAGGCTTATCCTCTGTGAGCCTAGATCTTTTAATACGGAAACAGAACGTAGCATTCTCTCCTGAACATGCCAATGTCGTTGCGGGGGCGGGGGAGGGAGAGAATAAGATTTGAAAAACAAGCTCCCTTCACCTCTGTGTGGCAGTCATTAGAGTCTTAAGGAGAGATAAGGCCAGGGCATCAGTTCCTGAGAGTTCTAGTAGGGACCCAATGCACTTGTTGGGTTGGAGTAAGATGTAAGAGAAAGATACCCACATCACACTCAAGTCCTCAAAGATATAGCAGAAGCAGAGAAGTTCATTTTCTGCAAGTTGCGGTGGTCCTTTCCCTGGACACTCAGCAAGCTCCAGATTCATCCTGGTTTCCTTTTCCTACACTCACCAAAGAAGACCCCCAGTACTGTGCGGTTGTGGACCGAGGCCAGCCCTGCACTTCCGTTAGCGACGGCATTGCTTAGCAGGCGAGGGTTGGGCAGTAGCGGCTCCTCCAGAGCCTGATAAACACCGTCGGCATAATTAGCCTGTACTAGGCGACGCAGCCGGGAGCCTGGAGGGGGCAGAGAGTTGAGCTGGATCAAGGCTCCTGGTCCCCAAGAGGTCCCAAACCTGGTTTTTCTGAGCTCTCAACGCTCCCCCTCCCCGCCCCCATTTCCTACTCCAGGAATGTATAAGATTGTCACGGTGGGAAGGCAATCCCGCTGGCCGCCTGGCTTCTCTCCCCAACACTCCAACTGCATGCCCTCCCTGCAGAACCCAGGGCTTACCAGCAGCGCCGCGCTGGTGGTACTTCAGATTATTAAACCAGCCATCGTATCGCTGCACTTCCCAAGGCAGCGGGGGTGCGTCCTGGCCACCTGTGGGAGCAGAGAGCCTTACACTTAGCATTAACCTTCCAGAAACCTCTGAGTGACCTGATGGGCTTAGACTCCTTCCTCAGCTGGCTAACTCCTGCCAATGAACTCTATTTCCAGTCTTTTCGCTGGGCCGAGGTGGTCAGAAGTCTTCCATCTCACTAGCCCAAAAAGAGATGGATCAATTCTTCCAGCTTCCAGGTGTCATCTGCCTGCACCTCTCCCTTTCCACACTCCGATGGGACACTGGCTAACCCCTTTCAGTTAGAGGTCCCTCCTACTTACCTACTGGGCTCAGGGGTCTAGTCAGCAGAGCGCCCAGGAGCACTAGTGTCTTGGGGTTTATTGGAAGCATGCTGTCTTTGAGCCTCGAGGTGGGAGGTAGTGTGTGAAGGACACACACTCCCACAGCTGGTACTGGGAGAGGAGCAGAGAGGTATTACTCAGGGCCCACATCTTGATGACGCGCTTTCTAGGACAACCTGGTAGATATTGAGACCGTGGCCGCCCCCCCCCCCCGACCCCAACCCTGTCTGAGTGCTGACTTCAACCACATGAACACCCTGGGCAGGAGTACAGCGGAACTGTCTCCGGGGGTTTGTTCTAAAACCTGGTACTGTCACCCCAGCTTCCCACATACTGCTTCTCCAGGAGAGGGATAGAAAAGGTGGAGAGGCTAATGAACTGAGAGCCAGGGACCCGCAGCCAACCTCATTCTCATCTAGGGTGAACGTGCGTGCAAAGGGGAGAGAGGAGCTAAAGATCCAACCTCTGGTATAAGACTCCGGTCCGGTTCAACAGTCGTCCGTGTTCTTGGAGATTTTGTTTCTTTGCTCGGCTCCCCGCTCTCACTCTTCCTGCCCGCAGCTCTGAGAATCTTCACCCTTCCTAGATGCACTTTCACCCTGCTTTCCGCGTCTCGCAGGTGTCAGCTTGCGCCACCGCTGCAGGTGTGAGTGTGTGAATCAGAGGCTTGCTGTCGAGTTAAGGACAGGATTTCCGTTATTTGCATGTCTCCGCCCCCTGTTTGCATGATCTCATCTGGACAGGACCCTGCTACCTGGCTTGGACACCTCCCCTGCTTGCCGCCCACACTCCTATAAAAAGGGGTCTGCGTTTCTTTGCGAACGTGCGCGAAGCCGCAGAGCCAGGAAAGAGAGTTTCTGGACATCACGCCTCTGCGCTTCTTAGGAGAGCCACAGGGCTCAGACTTTCTATCACTAATCCCAGCTCGCAGCCTGCGAGCAGTTCGTGAACTTTTTGCAGGATGACTGCGTGGGACGGGGTGCTCCCCTTTTACCCCCAGCCCAGGCATGCCGCCGGCTTCAGTGTACCGCTGCTCATTGTTATCCTGGTATTCTTGTCCTTGGCTGCTAGCTTCCTGTTCATCTTGCCTGGAATCCGTGGGCACTCGGTAAGGGGGTACTCAAAGCTCTCCTTAGAGGGTTTCTAGAAGAAGCTCATTTTGTGAGGGTCAGAGCGTGATATGGAGAGAGTTTCTTGGAGACTCGGGACAGAGGAGACTAAGGAAGATTCTCCGAAGATCAGTAAGAGCAAATTCAGAAGTCTGGTGCAGTAAGCAACTGTTCCGAGGGAGAGGGACAGCCCCGGTCCAGGACATCCAGGCAGATTCCAGCTGCCTTCTTTTGGAAGCTGCTTTAGACAGTGGGAACCAGCCCAGTATATTTGGGATTAAGTCTAGGCTTCCGGTGCTGCCAGGACTCTCCCCCCCACCCCCGCCCCTGCTCTCCGCCACACATACACACCCCTCTCTGAATGCCCTAGCACCTCTGTCCTGTGCTTTAGACAATGAACAAGAGAATGGGGATTTCTGTGCTTTCCTTACTGTGTTGAGTTAAAGACTCAAAATCCCACAGAAGATTCAAACATATAGAAAGCTAGAGAATTTTCCATCAAATGCTCCCAGCCTCCAGGTCCTAAACTGTACACTGTTACAAGTCTGAGAAGACCTTTACTCTTTTTGTGTTGAGCTTTGTTGGTTCGGAGGAACTGGCAGGTCTAGAAAAAATCCGCAGTCCCTCTCCCTTAATTGACTGCCAGCCCCTGGGGCCTCCCTCTTCTGGGAGAGGTGACCCTTGTCTGCCTGGCACTTCTGAATTCACTGAGCCTCACCAAGCAGTGATTGAATTAGAGGCAGAGAGCCGGCGCCAGACAGCTGGGGGTATAAAGGTAGCCAGAGTGCCAGGCAAGGTAGACCTGGAAGTAGGTGAGGGAAAATGGTCAGGGAAGCACATCCACAGAAAATGTCAGAAACGCCATTGGCGTAGAGGAACTTGAAGGGAAAGCACGCATGGCATCATCTTCAAAAGGTCAGGAATGCCGAGGAGTGGGTCAAGGGAGGCCTTGAGGATGGGTTGGGCGGTACCCAAGCCTGATCCAGTGTCTGTCTTTTCCTACAGCGCTGGTTCTGGTTGGTGAGAGTTCTTCTTAGCCTGTTCATAGGTGCAGAAATTGTGGGTGAGTGAATTGGGTAACTTGGGGGGGGGGGTGGAGTAGGGAAGGAGAGGCACTGAGAATCTGGGAGTGAGCATGGTTTCTGGACCTCCCCTTCCATTTTGCGGCACCCCATCTGCTCCTTTGTGGTGGGCTTTTCCATTTGTTTTGAAACAGTCTCTCACTATGTAGCCCAGGCTGACCTTGAGAAGTGCTTATTTGCCCAGGAGTCCCCTGCCTCTGCCACTGTACTTGCCCTTCGTCTTTCTGTTCCGTCTCCATCACCAAGCCTCTAGTTTCCATCTTCCCACTTCTACCCTCACCCACATGTCACTGCGTGCCTCTCCCCCTAGCCGTGCACTTCAGTGGAGACTGGTTCGTGGGGAGAGTGTGGACCAATACATCCTACAAAGCCTTCAGTGCATCCCGTGTTCAAGTTCATGTCGGTCTGCACGTGGGGCTGGTGGGCGTTAATATTACACTCAGAGGTAAGGAGGTTGGTGCAAAGTGGGCTCTTGGGGCCAGGGGATCCTGTGGTTAGGAGCTGAGTAGCAAGAGATGTTAAACACGGATTCTCAACCTGTGGGTCGCGACCCCTACTACCTTTTCACAGGTGTCGTCTAAGACCATCAGAACACACAGACCTTTACATCGTGGTTCCTAGCAGTAACAAAACTACAGTTAGGAAGTAGCAACAAAAATAATTTGATGGTTGGGGGAGTCACCACAACATGAGGAACTGTATTAAAGGGTCACAGCATTAGGAAGGTTGAGAAAGAAGCACTGTGTTAGAAGACCCTTTCATATCCCTCGGGCTTAGAAAACCTTTGATTTAATTGCATTTTTGTTCCCCGATACCACTACCTAACCTTTCTCTTTCCCGACAGTCGCCCCACCCTTAGTTCCCTATCTAAAACGCTTTAGTTTCCGGGTCCCTGGCCTTGCACAGTGCCTTGACCCCCACGGTTTCCCACAGGAACACCAACGCAGCAGCTCAACGAGACCATTGACTACAACGAGCGTTTCACTTGGCGTCTGGACGAAGACTACACCAAAGAGTACGTCCGTGCCCTGGAGAAGGGACTGCCGGACCCAGTGCTATACCTGGCAGAGAAGTTCACACCGAGCAGTCCTTGCGGGCTGTACCACCAATATCACCTGGCGGGTCACTATGCCGCGGCAACACTGTGGTGAGCCTGTGATGGGGAACCGGGCAGGGTGCATGTGACCTGGAGAGCGCCGTCTGCGGAGTTGGAACTGCAGCCTCGCGAGCAGGATCGGCTGGCAAACCGCAAAATCCACAGGACTTCACGTCCAAGCTATAGGGGGCAGGGGGAGGCCGGGGCGCTGGGAGGGGAGGCTCAGGAGCCAGCTCTCCCAGGGGGTTCCCCAACACCTTCAGCAGTCCTGGTCAGGGAACTCCACTCACCGAGCGCTGCCTTGGTCCCTCGCAGGGTGGCGTTCTGCTTCTGGATCATCGCTAACGCGCTGCTCTCCATGCCCGCCCCGCTCTACGGAGGCCTGGCTCTGCTCACCACCAGTGCCTTCACACTCTTCGCCGTCTTCGCCTTCGCCTCCATCTCCAGCGTGCCGCTCTGCCACTTCCGCCTGGGCTCCGCCGTCCTCACGCCTCACTACGGCGCCTCCTTTTGGGTCACACTAGCCACCGGTGAGTACCGAGTGATGCTTACTTGGTGGTGACCGGGGTGTGTGTGGGATGTGCGCTCTCTGGTTTACAGAATGAGTTCTCTTATTTAGTCTGTTCGTCTCCGTAGCAGGCAGAAGGTGGGAACAGACACGGTTATTTTTACTATTGAGAAGAACTAGTTCAGAAGGGTTCAGTGATCTTGCCCCGGTTTGCATGAGAACTCGAGCATCGTGTAATGCATATCAGTTCTTACAGGGGGTTGTGTGTATAGGAAATTCCATGGATGGGCTCCAAATCATGTCAAGGAGAGCCTGCATCCCTGACTCCCTCTGTCTTTCCTCCCTCCGGTGCAGGCATCCTGAGCCTCCTCCTCGGAGGGGCGGTGGTGATTCTCCACTACACTCGGCCCAGCGCCCTTCGCTCCTTTCTGGATCATAGTGTCAAAGACTGTAGCAATCAGACTAAAGGAAACTCACCTCTCATCCTCAACAACCCGCATCACGAACAGTTTAAGACTCCAGACTTAAATATTACGACTGTCCTGTGAAAAGAACTAACTCGGGATTCCTATCCCTCCTTGGGATCCCACAGACCAGAAGACGGTATTAAGAGTGCTGTGCCAGGAGCACAGCTGAGTCTGGAGGACTGCATGGCCATGCGGGAGGACAAGGAGGCACCGCGGATGTACCTTTGCTCTAGAGAATGGATTTCTCAGGAGAACTGTAAATAAACTTTTTTGTTTTGTTTTTCAAAATTCCCCTGCCAATCAATTTCCTTGACTTCTCTTGGCCCTTGGAGCTACAACCTTGAGAAACTTCTCTAGGCTAGTAATAGCGGAGTATTCAGGTGCTGAGGAGCTCCAGAAACACAGAAGGGCTCTAGGAGAGGCGCGCCCTCTAGTGAGATCTAGAAGGAACTGACAGGTTTCTGCATCTTCGTGAGCTGCTCCAAGGGGTGGTAGGTTGTGGTACATTCTGCCCAAATCTCTACTAACCAAACTGAATATATTGGGAAAGAAGGATTTTGGCATTCATTCACTAATTCTTTCCAGCTGTCTTCTTTTATGTTTGTATCTGAGAGCTAAGAGAGAGGTCAACAAGGCATAAAAATATAAATCCTGGGGTCTGGAGAGATGGTTCAGTGGTAGAACACTAGCTGCTCTTTCAGGGTATGGGGATTGAGGTCTTTGTACCCACATGGCGACTCCGTGTAACTCCAGTTCCAAAGCATGTCTGCAATGCCCTCTTCTGGCC